GATCCATTCTTCTGCCTAATTTAGTCTATCCTTGATTCCTTCTAGTGTGTTACTCATTTCACTGATTTTATTCTTCAACTCTGTTTGGGTATTCTTTATATTTTCCAACTCTTTGCTAAAAACTTCACTCTGTGCATCTATATTCCTCTTGAGTTCTCTGAACATCTTGGCCATCACAATAGGAGGTACATAATGTCAGTTTTTCCCATTACTGATGATACTGATGTGGTCAAAGTGGTATCCCCCAGCCTTCTCCACTGAAAAGCTACCATTTCCACTTTGTGAGTAATAAGAAGTCTATGAGGACACTATTTGGAAATGTGCATATTATTCATGCAATGGACTTACCACCCATTGGTGATTCTTGCTGCATCAATTATTATTACATGGTTTTTAATTTAGTTTGGCTTTTTTTATTTATTTAAAAATATTTTTATTGAAGTATAGTCAGTTTACAATGTTGTGTCAATTTCTGGTGTATGTAGATTGGCTTTTTAAAATCTTAATTTGGTAATCTCTGTATTTAATGGGATAGTTAACCTTTTTATATTTAGTTTAATAGCCATACACCTGACTATATTCCTTCCACCTCACTTTATGTATACTATTTTACACTGTATTTTCTTCTTTTTTCTTTCCCTTATTTGGCTGGTCTGAGCATGTTGCTATTCATTCTGGCTTTCCCCCTGTTACTGTGGAAGTTCTGTTATACTTATCCACTGCACTGATGTTTACCATCTTTCACCTGCTTCTGTAATCAAACACGTATGTTCCAAATATTTCCTGCATTCTGGCATGCTGTTTCCCAATTTTAACCCTCCATCCATTCCCGCCTCTTCTGAAAACTCAAATAAGAATCTTAAAATAATTTTAGTTGCCTTCTGCACTCATCTTTCCTCTTTGAAACTTTTGAACCATTTTGCCGTACAGACTCAGTAACTCCTAGGTTTTGTTGAGATAATTTAGAATCTATCAGAATTATCTTCTATTTCAAGAGTCTTCCATCAGCTGTTATAACCCAGAACTATATAAATGTGTGTATGTGTACTCACAAATTCCAAGGTTCACTGATAACTGTTTCTCTTCTCTTTTCCCCCCTATATTGAGGTGTCTTTCATTTTTTTATTTGGTTCTGTCTTCTTCCAAAAATTTTCCATAGAAGGGGTACATAGGTGACATATTCCTAAGCACGTCCTTGACATCTTCCTTTGCTTCACCAGGTAAATGATACCTTGGCCTCATTAAGAATGCAGGGGTTGCAGTATTTCTCTCTCAGTCTGATGACAAGTCCTCTGCCAGTCAGAGACTTTTTTCCTTTATGAGTAACTTGTCCTCGGTTGCTGCAAATGTAAAGTTGGTGGAAGGGATCCTCCTGAAGTCAAGTCACTAGGGGCACATTGTCTGTAGAGACATTTGAACCAATAATAAAACCAAGTAAGGCAGCTTTTCAGCAACACACGTAGGAGCAGTTCTAAACAATGTTAGTGATAAAATACTCCTCAAAACCAGTCTTTCGTTCATCAACCTTCTAAATAGCTCCTGTGGTTAGTGTTTGAATTTCAATAATATATATGTAAGCTTCAAGTTAGCACATTTTTATTATTTATCTTTAATAAACAGTGTACACTGTACTCTGCATGGAGGAATCTATCCTAAAATAACGGAGCTATTGGCAATGTTGCAATTTCTGGAACTCACTGTGAAACAGGAGTTTTATGTATCTCTGTGTATAAAACAGGAGTGTATAGCAAAGACCAGTTCTGAGAAGGTCATTGACAAATCTTCCAAAGTTAAGGCTTACAAATGAAAACAGTACTTCATTTCTGTGATAGACTAATGAATATACATGTTTTTCCTTTTTTAAATAATGCATTAATATAGTTATACAGTATTAACCTGTTGTTTCATTTTTGATATTGTCATATTTATTTTTATCTTTTGCTTATATATTCATACAGGCACCAAATTTATACAAGATAATTTTCACTGTTTATGTTTCTCTTTTTGGTCATTATTGTTTGTCTCATTCAATAATGAGTTCTTAAAATAATTTTGTCATATAGAGGAGAGGGCGTTACGAAACTGACCTGCTGCAGGTGTTGGACATACTAAGCACACCACTGCCTGTTCTCTCTCCCTGGAGACGGCGTACAGTGTTTTTTCCCAGGATGTTTCCATATTCGTGGTTTTTCACATCAGTCCAGTTTGGACCACTGTAAGCCCTTTCAATTGGCAGACACATGTGTTTCTTCATTCCAGGGAATTATTTTTCCCTATTCTGTGTTGGATTACACCTTCCCCATCTGTTCTTGCTTCTCTGCATGGAATTTCTCTTCTCAGTGTGTTGATCTCCGCAGTTTATTCTCCAGATTCCTTATGTCTGCTCTGAGGATGCCTGTTTCTTTCTTTCTTTCTTTCTTTTTTCTTGTACTTTGAGCTATTTCTTGCATCTGATTTTCCAAGTCATTCATTGGCATCTCGAGTGACTATCACACCCTGTAATTCTCCATTGAGTATAGGTCAAATTATGATTTTTTTATAATTCAAATTGGAAAGGCTTTTGTCTATGTGTATGTAGCACTTGGAGCTCAGGCACTTTTGTTATGTCAGTCCTGTTATTTTATTGAAGGGTTGTCCTGTCCCTAGCAGTCCTTTTTCACTGGGCTTGTTTTTTGATATTTGAGATCTTCCCTTCTCTGGCTGCTAGGATCCCTTAGGTGTGGAATCATTTTTCTTTGCTGGCTCATTGGGGTTTATGTCTGGATTTTGGTGTGTTAAATGTTGGAAGCCTTGTAGCTGGAAAGCAAGGCAGTCTCTAAGCTACAAGTCCATGCTGTAGAAGCCAGCAGGCCATCCTTCCCTGTAGGAACATTTGGAAAGATCCCTCAGAGAGATGGGCTTCAAGGGCAGGGAATTTAGTAACGCTGCTCAGCTGCATTTTGGACTTCCAGGAGTCAGGAAGGCCCAGTGAAGGCCAATATCTGCCTTGCCCTTGGGAATCACAGGTCTCTGCTTGTTCTTTGCAAGGTCTGATGTTGTCTCCAGGTTCTGCTTTCTGAATCTGAGCTCAGGCACTCTCAACGCTCTCGGTGGAGAAAGCATCACACTACCTTCCCCTTCTCTCCTGCTGGGGACACAAACAGAGCCTCGGCCTCACCTGTGGCCAGCTGCTTGTTAGGAAGGTTCCCTTTGATTCTGGAGAAGCAAGAAAGGTCTGGAGATGGGCACAGAGAGTAAAGGTGTAGAATTCAGACTGTTCTGATCCCAGAAACACCTTTAAAGAATCCTTTAGGATTGTACCTATTACCTTTAATTTAAATGAGAATTTCATAAAAGAAAACAGTAGCGGTCTATAGCTATGCCACATACAGGGATAAACAGGTTACCAAGACTAGAACAGACACTTGCTATGGACAGAGAAATACAGCATGTTCCAGGAGGTGGCACTCTTCTTCACTCAGTCACAGGGTTTAAGGCTGAAAAGGACCTTAGAGATCCTCTGATTTTTCCCCACCTTTGTATCCCCAGGACTTGGCGTATAGTAAGGGTTTTAATAAACACTAGGTGAATGAAAGGATGCATAACAGAATGAATGAACGAACGAACAAATGAGTGAAGACTACCGGGAACTACTTATATATATGACCCCGTATGGAATGTAGCTAACGGAACACCTTCCTCTTCTATAGAATGACTAGAGAACAAAGAGAAAGGTCATTGTCTGTTGTTCTATTATTATTATTATTATATTATTATTATTATTATTATTATTATTATTTTATGTGATTTATTGATTTATTGATTTTTGGTGGGAGGTAATTAGATTTATTATTTTTAGCAGAGGTACCAGCGATTGAACCCAGGACCTTGTGCATATTAAGCATATACTGTTACCGCTGAGCTATAGTTTCCTCCCAAGGTCATTGTCTTTTGAGTTCTCAGCACACAGGCTGATTAAGAAGACAGACATGTAAATAGATAATATAAATAATGTGATTAAAGACCATCAAGAAGGAATCTGGAGTCTGGATGGAAAGCATGGGGGCCTGTGTCCTGTTTTTCTGGTTCACCCCCCTTCTCCCAGCCAGCCATAGCATCAGGTGGGCCATCACTGGCATGCAGAATGTTTTCCCACATTATGTGGGTTCAGAAACTGTGAGTGTTTCTCTCTGCAAGGATAACCAACCTGACAAAGACTACTACCCCACATGGAGCTCCTGTTCACAAAAGCGGCCACCTATCACCCCCAGTCCAACTGCTCTACTTTTAATATCCCTTCTTCCTCAGCCCTGTCCTCCACCACCCAGAGAGGAAGGTGAGGCCACCTTGAGCAGGGGAGGAGTGGCAATAAAGAACAAAACTGGACAAATGTGTAAATTACTCGTGAGAGTTTGTGTCCTTGATACTTTCTTTAGATTCTGGATCTACTTAAAAACATGGAAACTGAATCACCATGCTGCATGTCGGAAACTAACACAACATTGTAAATCAATGCGTATTTCAATTTAAAAATCTTAAAGAAAAACTTAAGTACAAGTACAAATAAATTTTTTTTCAATGGCAAATGAAAGTGCACAGAACCTGCTAGGTCCTGTCTGCAGAACAAGAGCTCTGAAAACAGATTCCCAGGAAAACAGGCTCCTCACCACTTCATCCTGCCTGCTTGTGGCCAGTGCTCTGAATAAACACAAGCCAAAGGAAAATGGAATCTCTCAGTTTAAGAGGAAAATACTGCAGACCTTGCAAAATAACGTTAACACATCTCACTCTACCCCCATCCTGCCAAGTGCTTAAATTGTGCTTAACACATTGTACTGGACATGTGTCCTGGTCGGGGCTACCTTTCCAGCTTCTGCTTCATCCCCGTGGCCCTGGCCGTCTCCTGCTGGTCGTCCCATGGTTCTTTAGGTTCTGCCTCAGAATTAGGGTCACTTTTATCCCAGGGAGGCTGTTGTTCCTTTCCTTGAGATATAACTAGAATATAGCTTAAGCCACTTGTCATAAAAGAAACAAAATCTTCAAAGTCAGGCTACAAAATAAAATGATAATGTGTTTATCTCAGGCTCCTGAAACAGATCCATCAACTACAATGGTGGCCCCTACCCAAGTCAAGACCTCCTCCCCATCATGATCACTGGGCAAGAGTTACTTATAAGCCTCTCGTTATCAAGCACATTTGTGAGGGACAGAAGTTCACAGCTAGCAGGGGCTGATCTCAAACACAGTCTAATAACTATTCTCAAACTGCACCATGCTTCCAAATCATCTGGAAGGCTTGTTAAAACACAGATTTCTGGAGTCCGGTCCCAGAGTTTATGATCAGTAGGTTTGGGGTGGGGCCCAGGAATTGGATTTTCTCAAAAGTTCCCAGGGGATGCTGATGTAGCCGGTCCAACCCTTTCCCGGGGCCAAGAGAGATGGTGTGGGTGGCGCAGCTAGTTTACAAGGTGCTATCCGGTAGAACTTTCTGTGATAACAGACACGTTCTGTGCTCTCCAGCACAGGCTGCCGAGCCCTTGGAGTGTGGCCGGTGCAACTGAGACCCTGACTTTCTCATTTTATTTCATTTTAATGAATTTAAATTCCAACAGCCACACGTATCTAATGGCTGCCTTACTGAACACTACATTTCTAGAAGACCTGTCTCCTGACCAACACCCTCAAGCCAGGGCGCTTTCCAACACACAGCACTGCCTTTATTATAACCGCCCCCACCCCCAGGCAAAAGAATTTTTTAAAATAGCTTGACAGAAAGGCTTTTAGGTAAAGAAAAGATTAAAGCTTTCCTGTGAAGTTTATGACAAGGAGCCTTCAGCCTGGGATAAGAATCTATAGGAAAGGCTTAGATATTCACTTCCTAAGGGCTGATGCAAGGAGTCTCAGAGAACGTATCGTAGAGAGACCTTTGCTCCCACAAAACACGGTCAGACCATCCACTTTTGCTAGGCTGCCACTGTGTCTACTGGGGATTTCTCCAGGGTCGCCATCTTTGGGTTAACCATGATATGGACACCCACAGGGACACCTGGAGCTTATCTGGTTGGCCAGAGTTATTCATTTACTTTTCCATAATGAGGAACTTAAATTTACAGGAATCCACTGTATTTGACAACACAATAGCTTCTTTTTTTTTTTTCTTTTTAAGCTTTCTTACCTGGTCTGCTAATTGACTATAGAAGTACTTGACTTGTTCTTCAGTGAGCAGTCTCTTATCCTCTGCTTCGATGACAAATTGTGCATTGATAATCTTCAATTAGAGAGTAAGGTCAGTTCCAGACGTGTTGAGGGACGACAGGTAAAACAAGCCAAGCACATTTGTTTCCTAGGCTTAACGAACCATCCAGATTTGAATGCATTTCATTCTTCTGCCTCAGCACAAGCCACAGGGTGCTAGGCTGGAGGCGGCTCAAAAATATGCAAAGAAGATCCTTTTCATTCCCCTTACTGTTTACGTTTTCAAGGCTTGAACTAGAGACTCCACAGTATTTCTATTATTTAAGTGAATTGTCTCAAAATGAAAAAAAAAAAAACTAACTGAATTCCAAGAAAAGATACCATAGCTTTCTGAATCATCCAAGAAGACATACATTGACAAGTACTTCTTAAACATTTATTCTCAAAATTGTTTTAATTTTCTTTTTTTACGACTTTCCTTTGGAAAGGCTATAACTCATAATCTAGTCTATCTTACTCATATAGCCATAAAAATATCCAAATTCTAGGGAAAAAGATATCATTTAAGATTCAGCCATGCTATACTTGTCTTGAAATTTTTTAATTTAATGACAAATTCAGTGTGCATGTCACTCAAGTATATCATGTGTACAATGGACCATCTACTTGACTGGAGTTTAATCAATGATAACACTGCTTTGTCTAAAGAAGGAGTGCATGATGGGAAGTTCATCAAAAGACATCCAACCCCTCCTGCAATAGCTCCCTATGTGACCCCCCCTCTACTGCACATGCCAGTCTTTCAAATTGCAATATAATGTTGTTGTTTCAACACAAAATCATTGTTTAGTGATCAGCAAACCATAGCCTGAAGTCAAAATCTAGCCCACCACTCATTTTTGGAAATCAAGCTTATTGGAACACAGCCAGTCCATTTCTTATTTGCTGTTCATTGTTGCTTTCTCCATATGGTGGCAGAGTTAAACTGTTCTCACAGAGATCATATGCCCCCACAAGCCTGAAAATAGTTACTCTCTGGCTGCTTATAGGCAAAATCTGCTGGCCTTTAGATTAGAATGCAACTTTCCTCTAAAATTTTTTATTTTGGCTCTAAAGCAAAAACTTAAATGCATCCTTAAGTTATCATGTATCTGAAAAAGACCATGCATTTGTGACAATAGAGCAAGATAATGTGAGCTTATAACAAGTTTGCATTGCTAATAACGAAATGCAAAGAAATCCATTAAAATCTAATATAAGAGCTATGCTTTTATCATTTATACTGGATGCTGGTAGAGCAGAGTTATTTAAATAAGGATGTTCTATGGGTCTAGCCATTATAAGACAAAACGGTCAAAGCTTTTAGAGATACTTCACACCAGAAGTTCATTATGTTCTATTTTACTCTAAATGATAAGCTTATCTCCAAATTGAAAATTAAGGGATTATTTTGCAATTAATTTTTACATTAATTTTGTAGTGAAAATATTGTTGGGAAATATTACTTACTTTGTCTTTAATTTCTAGAACTTTGCTAGCAACCACAGCATCGGGTTTGATAATGACAATACTATATACTTGTTCTAGGAAAGAAAAAATAGAAGAATTTCACGTTCTTGGCACAAAGCCTAGATAATGAATGATTTGGCAATTAGAAATGCAAACCACTAATGTTCGGTGAATTTGGGTCCACAGCTTTGGTCTTATTATGGCCTTGCAACTATCAAAGAGTTTTTACTTAGAATCAAAGCACAGTTCCAGGATTTGCAAGCAGGAGAAACATTCACAAGAGTTTGCAATCAATAGGCAAAAAAAAAAAGAGTAGGTGGGCACTAGTTATTTTAATAGAATTCACACGCATGAGAGTCACACCCATGATCCATCCACTCAGTATCACTGGTGACTGGAATTTCAATGCAAGCAAACATTACAAACTGATGCTTTACCATCTATGAATTTATCTGCATTTGGCTACACAGTCTTACACCGAGCTTTTAGTGCAGAATAGCTCACCGAGCTCACTGTTTGCCTCTGTTCCCTCCAGAGTATGAACACACACTCACACACCCACTTAGACAGTCCAGTGAAGGAAACTGTTAACTCTTAAGTACACCAGGAGTGTGGGTCAGCAAGGAAGAAATTCTTCTTACAAGTTTTTGGCAGATGATAAAGGATGAAATAAGAGGAAACTGCTGTCCAGATCATTCACAGGGGACAGGATCCCCCGGTCGAGGGTAACCTCTGAAAGGCTGCTGCAGGTACTTTAGACCAAAGGGAAGGCAAGTGAAGAGGTTGCTTTATTTTATTTATTTATTTATTTATTTATTTATTTATTTTGCAATAAACTAAGGGTTTATTTCAGGGAGCTGAGCAAGGGAGTGGGAGACAAGCCTCAGATCCACTTCCACTTGCTCTTTTTTTAAATTTATTTATGTATCTATTTTATAATATCATATTTTTAAATTGAAGTATAGTTGATGTACAATATATATGTTACAGGTATACAATATAGTCATTCACAATTTGTATACTCCATTTATAGTTATTATAAAATATTTAGCTCTATTCCCCATGTTGTACATCCTTGCAGCTTATGTTATACCTGATAGCTTGTACCTCTTAATAAAAGAGGTTGCTTTTTCATAGCTGAGTCTAGCATCACACAAATCATCATTGATCCCACCAGTCCCATCTGAATTAATGTTGATGTCGTTTCCAGCTTTCTGCTGCAAGTGATGCTGTAATGAACATCCGGTAAATTTACTTACCAACACTTTCATAGGCTGCTTCCCCAGCATCTTCTGCGTCTGAGTCCGCAAATGCAACTTCATGATACTGTGGGAAAGAAATGCTAATGAAACAGTTTTATTTTAATATGATAGTGAAAGAGTTTTCGGAAATTTTGTTTCTAAGAAAGATGCATAGTCCAAGGGAGAGAAAGTAAGGTGGAAATGTGCCTGCATTTATCTAACACTACTTTTCCTAAGTTTTCTACAGAAATAAAGTAAGGAATATTTGAAAGTTTGGGGCAGGGTGACTCAGAAATAATGCATATATGGTGTATGGAAAATAGTTAAAAACAAAAAAACTTTAAAATTTCAGACGAGCACAAGGCATAAAATAAGAAAGAAGCAGAGCTTAACAAGTAAGAACGCAATTAGCACGTAATTATTATGTTAAAGATCGAAAGGGCATTTGTAAGCTTCAAGATGCGTTCCTGACCTTTGCACTTAGTAAATCAGGAATAGAAAGATATCTCCTTAACTTATTAAAAATGCCTTTCTCAAAACAATAGCCAATTTCCTATGATAGAATAAAACACTAGGAAGGAAGGGAGATTCTTAATTTCTGGAGCAGCACTGAAAGAGTTTCTGTGAATTACCTGAAAGGTTTATATATTTATATATATACTTTTTTTGGCAAGAGAATGCATAATTTCAGATTCTCAATGGAATACAGACCCAAAATTGTTTGGAAATAACTACACTGAGGGCATTCACTCCTATTATAATCAGGAATAAGAATTATGCCAGCTATGACTTCAAAGTGACCCGACTTGTATTTGCTGGACCTGTGCTGGCCAACAGGGCAGCCACTAACCACATAAGGCCATATTTGAGCACTTAAAATAAGGTTTGCCTAAATGAAGATGTGCTATGAGTAAAAAATACACAGTGCATTCCAAAGACCTAATTTGAAAAAAATGTGGAATACTTTATTGTTTTTTTATTGAGTACATCTTCAAATGGGAGTCTTTTGAATACACTGGATGTAACAAAAGATGTTTTAAAAATCAGTTTCACTTGTTTCTTTTTAAATTATTTTTAATTTATTTTTAAAATTTATTTTATTATTTTGGGGGGAGGAGAGGGAGGTAATTAGGTTTGTTTGTTTTAGAGGAGGTACTGAGGATTGAACCCAGGACCTCATGCATGCTAAGCATGTGCTCTACCACTTGAGCTATACCCAACCCTCCTCCCTTTAATTATTTTTAATGTGACTAGTAGAATATTTTAAATTATGTACGTGGTTCACATTGTGGCTTATATTTTATGACTATTATTGCACTAGACAAGGTAATTAGATAAGAAAACCAAATAACAGACGTATCCAACAAAAACTTTTAAAAAGAAGGAAATCTTGCCACTTGTGATAACATGGATGGACCTCCAGGGCATTACGCTAAGTGAAATAAGTCAGACAGAGAAAGACAAATACTGTATGATAGCTCTTATATGTGGAATCTGGAAAAACTGAACTCACAGACACAGAGGGCACAATGGTGGTTGCCAGAGGCAGAGGGGCTGAGTAGGGAATTGGGTGAAGAAGGTCTAAAGGTACCAACTTCCAGTTATAAGCTGAGTAAGTTCTCGGGGTGTGACATACAGCATGGTAACTACAGAGCTGTAGGGAAAGGGGGTGGGGAGGATAAATGGGGAGTTCAGGATTTGTAGACACTAACTACTATACATAAAACAGATAAACCAAGTCCTAATGTAGAGCACAGGAAGCTATATTCAATAGCTTGTAATGGCCTATAATGAAAAAGAACATGAAAAGATATATATATATACATATATAAGTGAATATATATATATAACTGAATCACTATGCTGTACACCAGAAATTAACACAACACTGTCAGTTGACTATACTTCAAAAAATAAATAAGCAAACATTTTTTCAATAAGTAAGTAAAATGATCATGGAATATTATGAACAACTATAAAAAATAAACACAGAGCTAGAACACACTAAACAGTATTACACTGTATGAATTTATACAATTTATGACACAAATTACAGGCATTTTATGTCATCTAGTCACTATGGCTAGACAGTCATTGAGCCCAGATTTGTAATAACACAGACAATACTGAAATAAATATCCTTTTCTGCATTTGCCTCATTATCTTCTTAAGGAAAATTATTGGAGTGTAATTGCTCAAAGGATACATATTTTTTTTAAGGCCTTTGATTCATACTGCTAAAATACTTCCCAGAAAGGCTGCACTATTTAGACACCTAGGTAATTATAAAATTAGGGAAAATGCTATAAGAAAACAACAACAACAAAAAAGACATAATGTGTCTTTTTAAAATAAATTTTTAAAAATAAAATTGTCAGTAATCCAAAGTATTACCTGAGGGCGAACCATTTCACCTGCTGCAATTTTCCTCTCCTCATTGATCAAGGTAATAATTTTTTGATTAACAAGTGGCGCATTTGCACCCTTGATTTTTGCAACAATTTTGCCATTCTACAAGGGGAGACAAAAGCATGAAGGAAAGCTTTCACTTTCAGGATAAGTCAAGAATTAACTCTTCAACTGGACTAAGTCACCCCACCCTGACCCACACCCCCACCAATCCCTTTTAGCTATTGTAATCAGCCATTTCAAAATAAGTATTAGTGGTAACGAACTTTGTCTCCATTTAGTAAACCAAGCTCTGAGTTCTACCTCCAATTTGTCTATCTCCCTGCATTAAATTTTAATGGTTCTGTCCCGCCTCCCAACATTACTTTCCCTAATTTTGATGTTATGTCCCTCTTGTTTGTCTTTCAACACATATTTACAAAACACCTGTTTACTAGATTGTACCAGGGGTGATGGTATGGAATAATAGTCCTGGTCCCTAATCTAATTAAATTACAAAACAGAAAACAAAAGAACAAAAAACCCCGCAAACACATGTGAAATAACAACCATTATAGGTACCACCTAGATTGGTACAGAGAGCTGGGAGCATCTGTAAGAACTGGTTCTGATTAAGGAGGTCAGTGAAAGTTCTTATCAATATCAGGAAGTGACTCTTGGTTTGAAGTGTGAAGGATAGGTGAGAAATAAAAAGGGGAAGAAAGAGCATTGTAGATAAAAGGAATAGAGATGCAGTAGCCCTACAGCCAAGGGAATCTGGCGAAGGAGGAGCCAGTCGAGTGAGTGAGGGGCTGCCTGGTGTGAGATGAAGCCAGCAGCGTGGAGGAGCCAGGCTGTCCGTGCAGAGCTTTGTGGGTCACGGGAGGGTGCAGCCTTTATCCTGAGTGCAGTGGGAAGCCTCTGGAACGTTTAAACAGAGGCAGGGATCATGACTGGAACTGCTATTGGTAAAGATAATTTTACCTACCATATGGAGAAATGGTTAGAGGTGGAGCAGGAGATGTCTGTATACCAATCAGAAGCTATTCTAGAGGCGAAGAGGGGAGAACTGGTTGCTCGGTCTACGGCAGTGCCTCCAGGGATTGAAAGAGGGGGAAGCAGCAGATGAGTGTGAGAAAGGCGTGATGCTGAAACTGACAGGACCAAGATCGGTGTGGATGGGGTGCGAGGTAAAGAGAGGTCACTATGACGACCTTTCTGGTTCTGGCTTGAGAAACTGGGTGAGTTAAGACGCTATCGGCCAGTCCCGTTTCCGATGAGGGTTGGTGTGGGAGGGGTGTGATGTTGGACCAATTCATGGTGAGATGCCCTTGAGACACCAAGAGGAGAGATAAAGGCACCAGTCGGATACACAAGTCTGGAGCTCAAAGTATAGGATTCAGGCGAAGATAGACACTTGAATTACTGATATGTAAGAGGTGACGACTGAAACTGTGTGTGGAAGAAGTTTTCTAAGGAGAGTTTATAACATGATGAAGTCAACATGGAGCGGCTGAATGAAGAAAGGTGAACCTTCAAAGGAGAAGGAGGGGAGTAGGATCTAAGAAGCGAAAGGAAAACCAAGTCACAAAAGCCAAAAAGAAGCAAACGTTCCAAAAAGGAGGTCGTGGTCTCCATATTCGATACATTTGAGAGGGACAGAATGATGAAGACCTCTGCTTTCAGAAAAGAGCACTTATTATGTTTTTCAGATCATTAAAGTTGTTTATCATGGAAAATTTGGAAAATATAGAAAAGTATAAGAAGAAAATTTACATTATGCATCCTTCCCCCATACATGGAAAAACAGCTGTTAACATTTTGGTGAATACACTGCCTGACTTCTTTCTATGCATTTGTAAATACAAAGATAAAAGCAGTCTTTATAACAAAATAATGATTTTACAAATATCTCCTTGCCTTGGTATATGTGAATATTTATAAACAATTCTCTTCTACTGGGTCCCTAATAAATTTCCAATTTTTCACTCCTGTAAACCATAATTCATCATACAGGTCTCTGATTATTTCCTTAGGAGAGGTACATGCCATTTTATTTTTCTTTTCCCTGATCAACTCAGTGTATGCTAGTCTAATCTCAATCCATTATGAGCTCCTACAGGTCAAATTATAAAATATGTTCATAAAAAAGAAAATTTAAGGCAAAAAAAAAGTCTACAATTACCATCAGCAGAAACCAGTTCCAGTAATTTTACAGTGTTACTTGCTTGTTAGCTATAAATTGGAATCTGATAATACATTTAAGATGATAAATATACTTACAATACTGAAGAGAAAGACAGGTTCACATTTATCTCTAAATGGCTGCAAAGTCACAATGCTGTCAGCTTCTGCCTTAAAAAAATATTCCATATAATAATAAAGGATACTATCCCCAAGTCATTTGATACACTATATTCAAAAAATGCAGATATATACAATTTTCTATGTTTACTACAACATTTTCTGAGTACGTTATAGTTGTTCTTAGACTCAAACTGCAGCCACTGGTAATTCAAGCCTTGCATCATTTGGTCTCAACTGTCTTTCTCACCGTTCACTTTTATGGTACCCAACCTGCAGCTAAACTCATCTCCTGTGGTCTGATGTACACCACCTGCGTTCTTCTCCCTTGTTACCTGTTCCTGAACTTCCTTTCCCAACACAGCTCAAGTGTCCTTCCTCCAAGAAGTCTGCCCTGCTTTCTCCCACTACAAACCATCTCCCCTCCATGCAGCATCTTACTGCCCTTCTCTCGGGCACCGGTAGCCCCTTTCAACACTGTAGTACCGTTATACAGACCTCTCTCGTCTCCTCTGGGAGACGAGAGGGGTGATGTCTCACGTTCACCCTCGCGTGTCACCCCTCTCCCTCATCACTCACAGGGCCATACAGAAAGAGACGCTTACTAAGTGCTTCTTGAATAAATTGGTCGTCAAATTTCAGTCTTGGATTTTAAATTTTCCCACAAATTTCAAGTTATCGTAAACTGATTATATAAATAAGTATATATTAATAACTGTGCGTTCCTGCCTATTAACATAACGCTCCTTGGGCCAGCTGTCAGGATGGGATCGTTTGGTAGGATTTTCTGTAAGAATTGTTTTTTCAACCAAAGGCACTTGTTTTCAAACTGGGATTTCTAGTCAAGCCAGGGTCCCTCAGCCCTGTGTCAGTCAGAAGTGCTGTGTCGTAATTGTTTTTTAGTATGTTGGATTCTACATCATTTTCTTTCTTCCTCGTCAAAAAATTAGGTCCTACTGCTTTAAAAAAAAAAGGGAGGCGGGGCGGTTGAAAGGAACTAATCTATAATATTAAAGGACAGTAGTCAAAGATTATATTTAAAAGTAGTCTAGGTATCATCATTGCCATTTTTATATCATAAGTATCACAATTTTATATCACAATTAAAGTATTTGATTACAATATTGCTTAAAAACTGGTAATATTTACTGAATTTTTATATGCATAGGCACAATGTTCGTACAAGTCTTCAAGTCTTTTAAAAGGGCACATAATAGAAGAAATTTTTATACTGACCATTCAGCTTGGGATGATTTCAACTGGTAATCAACCTTGTAAGTTTTCATTTTGGACTTAAATTTACAAGTTCAGATAGGGTCCCATTCCTTGGTTAACTGCAGGAAACAAAATGTCCAGCAGAGGGCGCCCCTCCATTGATTCCAAAGGAAGTTTGGAGACCTTTTTTTCACCATCTATGAGCAGGTCGTCGCAGAAAAATAGCATCAATCTATGTCAATGTACTGTTGTCAGATGTACTCAAACATAACAGAGAAACCAGAGACAGTGCACTTTTTTTCTGTTAAATTCAACAGATGCTGGCATTATGAATAGGACATATTTTGGAAAGACTGCATTAGCACTTCCCAGTGGGACAGACATGTTGGTGGAACTGACTCCTTGCGAGGTAGGCTGAAGAATCCTGTCTGGCTGGGTTCTTGCAGGGAGGACACAGTCTGAAGCCTCTGGGTGGGAGGAGGCACTGTTAAGACCTGTATCCTCACACAGCTCTGAGCTGTGCTGAAATGGAGCCCAGCAAACCGTGTGGGCTGATCCTTCCGCACCTACTCCTCAGCCTGCACCATGGTGCCCAGCCCACACACATACTCCAGGTTTGTTCCTACTCCGACTCTATAAACAAGGAGAGATTCAAGGACTCTGGACCACCAGGGAACACAACGTCAGGGTGCGCTTTCTTCTGGCCTTGCATTTCTATGTCCTAGTCCCCCTCCAGGTAGCCTGACTGGTAGCAGGGGATCTGCCTTATCGGTCTCTCCCCATTGACCCAATTTCCTCTTAGACCCTTGAGTTTCCCCACAACCCCTTGCTCGTGAATGTGTACTGCTACCACTGCCAGGATTCACGAGAATTTTCTTATCCTTGTTTCTCCATAATCCATACACCAGCTGTTAGATCATTCTGATATTTTCTTGTAACTTCTTATACCAACCCATTGTCTGCTGCACGTGGCAATCCCTGTTAGACCAAGCACCAAATCTAGACTCACAGTCCAGCTCTACTCAGGCGGTTCTGATGATTCAAAGTTAAGCAAGTTATTTAAAAAATCACAGGGCCCTATTTCAGAAGACAAAGTCAACCTATAGACAAAATGATTTAATGATTGTGTATGACCACCTACCCTTTGTCTTTTTATTTTTCCTTTTCTCTTTGTTGGTTCCTTAGTTTTTTTCTTTGCAACCTACCCTCTTTAAGAGACAAAATTGTAATAGGTAAATTTCTAAGCTTTAGACTGCTTATTTGTAACCTTGATGGACAATGTGTCTGCAAAAGGGAATGGACAGTCTAACACAGGTTAAGGTCAGTAAGCAAATTCATCTTTCAACCCAGGTCTGGGTTGAAAGGGGTCATGGAGGCCTGTGCACATAACATACAGCGGCTTGAGGTTTCATGTTTGCATCAGGGATTGTGAGTAAGTAACACATGAGTTATCTGCTTCTGCATCTTAGGTCCAGCTGGTCTGGATGTGTTTCTGTCCAATAGATAGAATGTGATCACATATATACTTTTAAATTCCCTAACAGTCACATTTTTAAACTACAAAAAAAGTGAATATAATCTAATAATATATTTTACTTAATCCAGTACATCCCCAAATGATCATTTTAACATGTAATCAATGCAAAAATTATTAATGAGCTATTTCACATTCTCTTTTTCACAGTAAGTCTTCAAAATCTAGTGTGTGTTTTATACTTAGGGTACATCTCAATTTGTGGGCTAAATTTTAATCATAAATAACTGACCTTTAACTAGATTTAATAAAATTTACAGTCAAAAAGGTAGATTCACATACCTAAGTTGCTCAGTTCAGTTAAGTTTTACAATAACTGAATTGAGTAGCTTTTTAAATATAAATTTAAATTAATTAAAATTAAAAATTCAACTCCTCAATGACACTAGCTGTATTTCAAGTGCTCAAAAGCCACTTATGCCCAGTGGCTACCATATGAGACAAGAAGCAGTTGATATTAGCTCTAAGCAGTTAATAATTTGATGTAGATAAATTGATGAGTTTGGCTGTTATATTTTAATTCACTGTCACATGTGGGAGGCAGATAAGGGAGGGGGAAATCGCTACCGATTTAAAATTGTTAACTGGATAAAGGCCCAGAGTCTTATCCAATGCTACCCAGTAAATGGGATTTGCAGCCCTTATTCTGAGCACACACCATACGATCAGGTGAAAAGAAACATGGCAATAGACAGATACCCATCTTTATGTTTTTCTAATGTTCACAACCATGGTAAACAACCGCAGCATTATAGGAATAGGATAAAAATCACATTCATTCTCAGAGCCAGAAGAATTAAATATATAGTAAAATTGCTGAGTAAATACTGTCCATTTTGATGAGTTGACAGGTCGCTTAAATTAAGACAGTCCTTAAAGAGAATACTTCAACCCTGAAAGTAACAAGAAAGCAATAGTCTACTGGAAATGAAATTCTTACTACGGCAAAATGCAGAATTTCATCTTCGTTCACTTCATTTTTCAATTTTCTGAATAAAGTCTGCATTGCTTTGCAAGGTCCACACCAGGCTTGGTAAACATCAATCACTAGAAAATGAGAATATTTATGAAAGAACACAGTCATAGAGCCTAGAATGATAGCAGCTTATCCCAGCCTTGTGGCAGGAGCAGGGCAAAGACGGAGCAGGTTTTGACTCTGGGAAGTGGGGAGCAGTGCTCGGTGTTGGGGTGCCACAAGGTGCCCCGGGCTCAGCTCCAGACAGCAAACAACTGGGGAGCTCCTGTACCTGTTAGGCCTTTGTTCTGCAACATCTCATCCCACAGGCTCTGATTATTGATGACCGCCTGCAAAAAGGAGGGCTCTGTCAAAGGCCTTCAGGGCCAACGCACCAAGTCAAGACCTGTCGGTGTGTCGTGCCCACCTGCAGCTGGATTTCTCGCTTTTTGCTTGCCATTCAGCCACTATCACGTGACAAAAGGGAAGAAAAATAGAATACATTTAAAAGGAAACTTAAATAATGTCCCTCTCTTGCAATGCTTGCAGTAGCCACACTATCTCACTCTCCCAGTAATTCGGAAGCAAAGTAAGACATGAAATAAGCAAACTCACAGGTATGGAGAACAAACTGGTGGTTCGGGGGTGGGGGAGTGAGGGGTACAAACTACTGAGTGTAAGACAGGCTCAACGATGTACAACATGGAGAATGTAGCCAATCGCCAACATTTTGAAATAACTGTAAATGGCAAGTAACCTTGAAAAACTGTATGAAAAAATTTTAAATGTTCTGCAAGACAGCAAGTAGTTGTATATTTTGCAAAGCTATGGCCAGCTCTGCAAGGCACCCACTGTCCTTCACCTTAGATTTCCTGTGACTGAACCCCCAGTAAAGCATTAGCTTCTTCAAAAAAATAAAAAGGAAAGAAAGTTAGGAGTCACAGTTCCTCAAAAATATTTTGCTTTCCTGAAGTAGTACAGAGTGTTTGTTCACTCTGTTTCCATGTGCACACATGTTCACCGTCTACAGCATGTTCGTGGATCTTCCTTGGGTCCCTCTCCAAGATTTAATTTTTAAAACGAGGCCACCAGTGCGTTCTGGAGCACAACGTAAACTTTCCGCAGATGTTAAATCAGCGAGGCCCAAACGCCCTATTCGCTGGTGTCAGGCACGTTTAGACGTGGGTCTGACTGTGTGGGTGACCGCGGACACCAGTGCGAAACAAAGGAGTGACCACAAACAGCAAGACTACATCCAGCAAAGGGTGTGAGATTCTCTGACATGCCTTACACATCACGGACCCCCCTCTAGTTGCTACATTGGGACATTTAAAGAACTGACAACCCCCCAGGATCTAAATCTGCTTCCTTACCGAGAGGCGTGTGTTTTTGCGGGAAGAGTTCAGCCAAGCCCAAGTACCCGGGGCGCCGAGCAGGTCTGGGGCGGGTGGCCAGGTTCCCGCTGTGCCTCTGCCTGCGCTGGTCCGGCTGTAGGACCAGGAAGCCAACGTTTCCTGCCAGCCGTTTGGCTCCCCGCGAGCCCCGTCCTCCCAGCTCGAGGGCCACAACCCCAGCGCGCAGACCTGGGCAGCGGTTAGGAGAGCAGTCGGCCCCGAAGTTCGTCCGCCTCTTGCCGCCGCCTCGCCGCCGGGTGCCCCCAGCAGCTCCCCTCCGCCTCCAAGGTGCGCCTGCGCAGCGCAGGTGCCGTCGGCGGCTGCGCCTGCCGCCTGCCGCCTCCCGCGGGCTGGTCATGATTCGCGGTACGAATCGCACGCGCCTCGGGTGGGAGCGGAGGACTCTCAGAAGTCCAGCTCCAGTCAGTCTCTCCCAATTCTCCTAGCCGTAGTACACTTACCGAAACCGGGAAGCTAATGTTGGTACAGCGTTAACTACACTATAGGCCTCACACAAATCTTTCATCCTTTTTCAAGAATGTCCTTCTTCCGATCCAGGATTCAATCCTGAGTCTCACCACTGCGTTCGTTTCGCTGTCCTCTCCTTGCTCTTCTCCGATCTGGGGCCGTTGCTCTGGACCATCTTTCTTCGTCTTGTAAAATCTTGATGTGTGTCTGTGTGTGTATTTATTTCGTTATGTCATTTGTAGAATTTATATCGGAATTTTTAGAGTAACTTTAAAAAACAAACTCTCCTTTTCGTGCCAAATGAATTCTTTTACATTTAACATCTTTTTCAGCTTGCTCTGTTTTCTCTTCTTCTTAGGATACAAGTCTACCTGATGTATTGGGTCAGGTGACTATCTTTCATGGTGTTTGGGGGTTTTATTTTGGGAGTAGTGTTTTGTTTGTTTTGGGTGTTTGTGACTTTTTCTGTGAACTAATTTCTAGCAGGAATTGCTTTTGGTATGAACCCCTTTGACCCGACAACGGAAACATGCTGACACAATGATGCCCCATGTGCCTTTGCCTGCCCCCATCAGTGTTTAGAGTACCAGACGAGTTGTAACTTCTCAGCTTAGATTTCCTACTTCCCTTAGCTGAAAATCCACATCCTTATCTATGACTAGCACAATTTTGGGACCTGAATTTCTCATCAGTGACTTTTTATCCACATAGAATTCCCATGGCTGGCAAGCATCCTTGCTCCTATTACTAAACTAGTTGGAGGGAAATGTTTATAGTCCCATTTCAGAAACAGGACAGCCCTCAGAGAAATATTAGCAAATGAAGCAACTAACAAGGGCTTGACTTCCAGAATATACAAACAGCTCATACAACTCAATAACAACAACAAAACCCAATCAAAATGGGCAGAAGACCTCAATAAGGCATCTCTCCAACGAAGACACCCAGATGGCCAACAGGCACATGAAAAGATGCTCAACATCACTAAGTATCAGAGAGATGCAAATCAAAACTTACACCCATCAGAATGGCCATCATTAAAAAGTCCATCAAAAAAAAAATACTGGAGAGGGTATGAAGAAAAGGGAACCCTCCTGCACTGCATTGATGTAGTTTGGTGCAGCCATTATGGAAAACAATATGGGAAGTCCTTAAAAAACTAATACTAGATTTACCATATGATCCAGCAATCCTACTCCTGGGCATATATCTGGAGAAAACTCCAATTTGAAAAGATACACGCACCTCAATGTTCATAGCAGCACTACTTACAATAGCCAAGACATGGAAACAACCTAACTGTCCATTGACAGATGAATGAAAAAGAAGATGTCGAATGGAATGGAATACTACTCTGCCATTAAAAAGAATGAAATAATGCCATTTGCAGCAACATGGATGAAATTAGAGATAATCATACTAAGTGAAGTGAGTTAGATAAAGACAAATACATGATATCACTTGTATGTGGAATCTAAAAAAAATGACACAAATGAACTTATTTACAACACAGAAAGAGACCCACAGACATAGAAAACAAACTTCTGGTTACCAAAGGGAAAAGGGGGGGGGGAGAAGGACAGCCCATCTTGATTTCTAGCAGTGTACAAGTAATTGCAGCTAATGATGAATTCTGGACTCTCAGCTCTTTAGTATGTGAACATATGCAGAAGTAGATGTCAGAATTCCAGCCCCATCTGTTAAGGCTTGTTCTCCATCCTAACACCCTAGTGAATTCTTTCTGGTTCAGTCAGCTCACCCCAACAACCTCAATTTCCTCTTCGGCTTCTCTGTCCTAGATATTTCGTTCTCTTAGTTTCCAGCTAAATTAAAAATTGTATAAAATTTTTTTTAAATATTTGAGTTATTTTATTCAGTATTTTCACATGTTAGACCTAGGCTGGGCATCTTTCTGGCACCAGCTCGTTCAACCATGTTGGCTGGATATTAACCTGCTGACTTGTCATCACAGCCATCTCCCCTGTGATTATTGCCCCCCCCATGACTTTATGATTCTTAACTTTTCTTAAAAACCAAACTTCCCTCAAGTTTTCTTTAATTTCCTGTAGTAGAGAATTTTCAAGAGATGGTGCTTCTGAGTCTTCCTGGCTACTACGTCTCTGGTGGTCTAACTTACTTTCTTCATTGCCCCAGGTTGACTTCTTCCTCCTCACCCCTTCTCAGTGTGAGACCTGTTCTGTCCTGGTAGATAGAGTCAGTGGCTGGCTTGCCCTGGGAATTATTTTGTGCGCACTTTTATTGGGGTGGATTCTCTAGTAAGATCTATACATGGGGTCCAATTTGTGTGCATAACTTCCAGTTTAATTCCCAGCTTTTAGCGAGTTTCACATGGGTCACTCTGTTCTTCTGAGGTGGCGTCTTTCTCACAAACTTCTTATTTCTCTGATTTGCGCAAGAAAGACAAGTACAACTATAACTGCTGACATTCCCTGCTGGTGTTCGTTCCGATTCTGAGCAGCCTGGGAACACACTTCCCACCATGCACCACCCCATTCAGTTTGTTTTTTCCAACATGCAAAACTATTCCTTGATTTTAGGCTAACAGTTAGTCACCTGGAGTCCATTTCACAAGTGTTAGTGTTTCAATTCCCATTTTTCTCATAGGTTCCCCAAGAAAGCCATCTGGTAAATCTCTGGGGAATGTAAGTATTCATTTGGGCTCATGTTGGCAACAGCACAGGGACACAGCTCTCCACTTTAAGAGCCTCTTCCTCTAGGCCACCTATTGGGTTGACCCCAAGAGTCAATTTACTGACAAACTAACCCTGGTGAAATAGATATGGAATACACATAATACAAAATAGTTATGGAAAATATATAATACTCCTTCTAAAGCACCCGATGGTGAAGTGCAGGGACAATACATGCCCTTTATATATGCATCCTTGATATAGAGTAAGGTCCTATTCAGAAATCCTCCTGTAGGTAATTCTGTTCATCCATTTGGTCCACTGTGGGAAAGAGAATCCTGTCTACGAAGGTCCATTGTATCCCTTAACCCTAGAGTTGCTTCCTGGGCCGCAACCCATGTGCAACAGCTGGAAATCTCTTTTTAATGACACTTTTCTTGTCAACCCAAAAAGAAGTTATTGTGCAGCACCTACAGGAAGCATTTAGCCACAAATGTTCATGCACGTATGTCGGACAGAGTCTTCACATGATGCTTTTCCTATTTAAGGGAAAACATCACTGCTACAAAAAGAAGTTTCAATCTGTTCTCAAAGGAGCACAGACATTTACCAGTGTTCAAGACACATGGATGAAAGTGGGTTTTTAAGCGTTATTCCTACTCATGGCAAAAAGTTTGACTGTTGAGGCTTTCAAATGTCAACTCAAGAAGGTTTTGATCTGGGTCCTCCCAGTGCTGACTTCAAGGACAAGTGTACTCTGCAAATGTTATTTAAGAGAAAATGTATTATACGTGAGTATACGAGAGCATAAGTTATAAATGCCAAATAGCCTGTGAGAGGTGTTACTCCTGAACATCCTGGTGGTTTGGTTTGCTTCTTGCATATACTTGACATTATCTTTCAAGTTTCTTGGAAGGTGCTCATTCCTACACTGACCTGCCTTTTTTTTTCTTTTTTTTTTTTTTTGCCCTCAGGCAGTGCTATCTATAATACTCAATTTCTTCCTTGAGTCATAGGTTTATCAGCACCTCACTGTTTCACCAGTAGGTTCTCTGAATCTCTAAATATATGTGAAAACCCAGAGGGGAGAAACTAGGTTGCCGACCTGACTAATTATTTTCACTTTACTCACTTCCTCTCGTGGTTCTCCCTGGCACCTAGCATCACCACTTACACATAAACGCTCAAAAATTTATTGGCAAATTAGTGCATTCGGAAATAGCAGATATTCTTGACACAATTATAGACTCCTTAATGAGGATACACAAATCTCCTATTTTTAAATTCAATCTGGTCCAGGTAAGTCAGAAGAAAATAAATAGTTTTGGGATTTACTTTAAGTTCATCACTTTAGCGAGAGATAGAAACAAACTAGTTGATCTAGGAGAAATTTATGCAAATTTTTGTTCATTTTCCCTATCTCCTTTAGGTCAAAAATTCCAGATTCTGAATTCCAAGTTAAATATCATCCAAATAATAAGACTCTCTTTTATATTTTATATTAAGACTCTCTTAATACAAAATTAATACAAAATTAAGGCTTTGAGGATAATGAAAACATGTAATATTTTAACCCCTGAAGAGACAGAAATATCCTTTAGTATCTTATATGTGCTCTCTCTCACTCTAGCACTGTGTCTTAGCGTGCTAGGTGCTGGAATAGAGCTATACATAGGATTACAGGGGATCTGGTTAAAGAGGAGGGTCTTAACTCAGTCTGCAGACAGGGAAGGGGCACCATGAGATCTGGCACGTGAGCATTTGCAAAAGACAAATAAGAGTAATCAATTACTCCCACCACTCTCTGTAAAGGATTGGAGGCAAGAGCCAAAGGTAAAGTAGAGCTAAGCAGGGGGCAGAGTGAGGCAGTTGGGAATGAAGGGAGGACAAGGGAGAAAGGTGACTTCAAGGTGGAGAAAACAGGATGTGCCAAGCCGTAGGGGACGAAAGAGTCTAACATAGAGAGGGAACTATGAACGTGATGCTCTGTCTGAAATGAAAGATCTGTGTAGAGTTGCGTTGTCTGGAAAGGTCAACTGTGACTGGAGCACAGGAAGTCCCACAAGCTCTATGTGGGCTCTATGTGAAAACAGTGTGAAGCTTCTCAAAGTTTAAAGTGGAAGGATTTACAATAGATGGTTGACATAAAAATGTTTCAGTTCTAGGAAAACCACTGCGACCATCAGTCTGGCAATTGAAGCACATGTGGTTGGGGAGGTGAAACAGGAGATAACAAATTGAGATCTATTGCAGCAACACAGAAGAGCTGGGCTGAAGACCTAAATGAAGGCAGAGACCAGAGGTACACAGCGAAAGAGACAGACTCTCGTGATATTTGGGGGTTTGTATCAATGGGACTCAGGGAGTAACTCTTTGTAGGGGGAGCAAGTGGGAAAAATTAAAGAAAATTCAAGTTTGGAGTTTGGGTGAGTGAATGATGCTTTTCACATGAATGTGGGGTGTGAAAGGAGGTTCAGACCTGGAGGGAAGATCATGAGCTCAGGGATTTTAGGGTGGCAAGAAGGAAAGAGAAGACTTATGGGGGATGTTATAGCTCAAGTGGTAGAGTGCAGGCTTAGCATATACAAGGTCCTAGGTTCAATCCCCAGTACCTCCTCTAAAAATAAAACAAATAAGTAAACCTAATTACCTTCCTCGCCAAAAATTTTTTTTAAATAAATAAGAGAAGACTCATTACCACTATTAACAATTAAATTAGG